CGGGCGCGGGCCCGCGCGCGGTCTCGGAGAGCCCGGGGGGTGGGGCTGGCCGAGGCGGGCGTCCACGCTGCAGGTGCCGCCGAAGCTCTCCTTCCCGTCCCTCGGTCCGCACCCGGGCCGACCTTTCCTATCCGGTCGCTCTGGAGTTCCTCATCTCCCTCCGGTGGTGCAGTTACCGTTTCAGACGTCCCAGTGTGGATTTGGTGTCGCTTACCCCCTGAATCTCAGATTTCCCTTTTCCTGGATTCTGGAAAGTGATCAGCCATTACCTCTTAAAATATTGGTTCCCCGTTCTCGTAGTCTCGCTCATAATTTGTTAATCAGGTTGGACAGTCCGTATCTTTTCCCATCATTTCACTGTCATTCTTGACGCTTGGCGTTGCGCAGCCTCATCTTCAGCAGCTTCTAACGCGTCTGGCTTGTTCTTCAAGCTTTTAGAAACCATTATTACCTATATCCATTTCTAAACGTTGTATTTGGCTTCCATTTTGAAGCTGAACAGCCCGAAACTCCCCCACAGCAGAACACAGAAACCCACACCGCGCAGTCCGTGGCCACGCCCTGCCTCCCGCCCTCAAGAAACCGCGCGTGGAGGGCTGCACGCTCCTGCCAAACGTCCTCGGTCGATCTTCTCCCTGTCCTGCCGCTCACGGCCGTACCCCCTGCTAGCGTGCTTGTCCCCTGGAGCACCGGGCCGGGACTCGCTCGCCACTCTCGCACCCCCCGTTTGGGCCGTCCACACGCTGCACACCCACGCACGTGGACAGGTGGCCTCCGCGCCTTTGCTTCTAAGCTGCCTCTCCACCGTAGCACCTGAGAAAACCCACCGCGGATGAACTCAGCCGTTCCCCATCATGACCGCTGCAGGCAGGGACCTCACACAACCGGGCTGGCTGGCTTCACCTGAAACTTAAGATGAGTCCTTCACACTTCCTTGCAATGTTGTGATTTTCTCCAGTAGGGTAGGTCTCTCACTCTCCAAGTGACCAACAGAATTTCTCAGGCCTCTCTAGCTGAGCCACCCAGATGGACCAAAACTCTTCTTATCACCAAACCCAAGGACCACACACGTCCATCCCCTGCCCTTCACCTTCCCTCCTGATAATGTACAAGCATTATTTCCCTGCTCCTACCTAAGGCAGTCCCTCCCCTGGTAAGCTGGAACCCACTCCCTCTTGAATTCTCAAAGATTCTGCTTTGCTATCTCCTCTCTTCATCATCTGTTTGTCTTTCTCTATTTAATTATTTCCATGAGCATACAAATACACTCTGATATTTTTCATTACAAAAGAAAAAAAAAAAGACTCCTTTAACCCCACATCCCCCTCAGACTCCCTGCTGACCGTGCTGCTGCTCGAAAGGCTTGCCTGCACCTTTTATCTCCTTCTCTTCTCATCCTCCAATTCCGTGGAACACATCGCTGTTTAGGTCACTGGTTGCTGACTCCAGTGTACTTTTTTCTGTTGTCATCTGGTTGCCCTGTGAGGATCATCCAATCCAACATGTTGAGTCTGAGTTGCTTTTATTGATGGGAGCACTGGATGTGCAAGTTTGGGCTCAGAGGATGTGACTTTGTTTGTCATCTGCATGTAACACAATAGGATGTCAGTATTTTGGCTAAGGACAGCAGATATTACATGTCCACATATACTAGAAAGATGCAAACACCTGTTTTCAGGGCTTCTAGGAGGTGGCCAAAGACTGCTCCATAATCCTTTGCCCTTCACCATTCTAGGTAAGTGTAAGCTAGGAAGTGAGAGGGTGAATGAAAGTTTCCTGGAAAAAGATGTAGACCTACTAGTGTGTTTCCATTCTCCTTCCCCACCTCCTGCCAAACATAGGTGAAAGTATTTATATAATGGATGGATAAAATTAAAGAATGGAAAAATATGTTAGAGATAGAAATGATCCAAAATAAAACCAAGATGGAAATTTAACATCAGATGAAACCATTGAAATGCAAATCATTACCAAGGCAAAAAGGAAATTACATTCTGTTAAGTAAGAGATTACAAATAATTAACAATACTGTTAACTTTAAAAATAAAACTGCCAGTTATTTTGCCAGCAAAATGGGTTTATTTAGTAATAGCAGAGAACTGTAATTCAGGATAAGCAAGCTAAAGCAAAACTATAGGTAAGTCCGCAGAGCAAAGGAAAGCAAAGCTCTTTTATAGAGGAAAGGGGATAGAAAGTGGTATCTACTTGCAAGGTGTAATCTCTCTTTTGCTGGGTCTCCAGACGGCGGCAAGGAGTGGTGAGCTCCCTCTGCTGGCCTCCGAACGCCATCTTCTTGGAGTCTCCTTTATTCAGTTTCACAATATATATACAGTTGACCCCTAAACAACACCAGCATGAACTGTGCGGGTCTACTTATACACGGATTTTTTTTTCAATAGATGTATTAGAAAATTTTTTGGAGATCTGTGACAATTGGGAAAAACTTGGCAAATTGTGTAGCCTAGAAATATCAAAAAATTTTAAATGTTAGGTATGTCAGGAATGTATAAAATATATGTAAGTACTAGTCTATTTTATCATTTGCTACCATAAAATATACACGAATCTATTATAAAAAGTTAAAATTGGGCGCCTGGGTGGCTCAGTTGGTTAAGCGACTGCCTTCGGCTCAGGTCATGATCCTGGAGTCCCGGGATCGAGTCCCGCATCGGGCTCCCTGCTCGGCAGGGAGTCTGCTTCTCCCTCTGACCCTCCCCCTTCTCATGTGCTCTCTCTCATTCTCTCTCTCTCAAATAAATAAATAAAAATCTTTAAAAAAAAAAAAGTTAAAATTTGTCAAAACCTACACACACAAATACTCACAGACCACACATGGTGCCATTTGTAGTCAGGAGAAATGTAAGCAATCTAAAGATGCAGTATTAAGTCATAACTGCATAAGATTTACTGCAGTACTAATAAAAAGAAAGCTACAGGCCCAAGTCCCCAAACTGGGGCTCAATACCTAACCTAATTGCATTGTCACCCTGTCACAGAAATCTAGTCTAATTCAGAAATTTTCTGGTCAGCACCAATAAGGTAATCTGTCACATGGGTCTTTCCATCCCCCAAAGGAAGGTGAGATAATCCACATACTAAGGACTTTTTGTCCCCAAATGAAGGTGACCTAACCTAAAATAATCCTTTTTTCCTGTTCATGACTTCCCTGTTCTGCTTTCAAAATCCTCTCCCTTTCTGTAACCCTTTGGAGCTTCGCTCTACTTGCTGCATGCTTGATTCATGAATCACCTAATAAAGCCAATTAGATCTTCAAATTTACTTGGTTGAATTTTATTTTTTAACAGTACACACCGTACTACTCTGATAAATATTGGCCACCTCCTGTTGCTGTTGTGGTAAGCTTGTGTTTCCAGGACCCGTTGAAAACACCATGCGACATTAATCACCCTATATCAGCATATCGTCTCTCTAGTAAATTATGTATCACAACAAAAGGTGATCTCTCATGGTTCTCATGTATTTCTCATTGTATTTAGTGTAACACTATAAACCTTCAACAACACTATGGGACCCATATGAACTACCACTAATGAATGATGCTAAATGTGCTCCCAAGAAGCGGAAAAAAGAAAATCACGATGTTACAAGAAAAAGTTGAATTGCTTGATATGTGCTGTAGATTGAGGTCTGCAGCTGCAGTTGCCCACCATTTCAAAGTCCACCTTATGCTGGACTCAAATAAATGAGTCATTCAAATAAATGAGCCCAGCCTAAGGACCACATTAAAAAGAGAAAAGGGGGGGGCGGTGCCTGGCTGGCCCAGTCAGTAGAGCATGTGACTCTTGATCGTAGGGTTGTGTGTTCAAGCCCCACACTGGACATAGTGCTTACTTTAAAAAGAGAGAGAGAGGGGCGCCTGGGTGGCTCAGATGGTTAAGTGTCTGCCTTCGGCTCAGGCCATGATCCCAGGGTCCTGGGATCGAGCCCCATGTCGGGCTCTCTGCTCGGTGGGAAGCCTGTTTCTCCCTCTCCCTCTGCCTCTCCCCCTGGTTGTGTTCTGTCTCTCTCTTTCAAATAAATAAATAAAATATTTTTAAAAAGAGAGAGAGAGAGATGGAAATTCATGGAGCTGTTGCTGCAACTATGCCAGAAGGAGTGAAAATCTTGCAATTTTTATGAAATATCTTTATTTATTTTAAAGATTTTGTTTATTTATTTGACAGAGAGAGACACAGCGAGAGAGGGAATACAAGCAGGGGGAGTGGGAGAGGGAGAAGCAGGCTTCCCATGGAGCAGGGAGCCCGATGTGGGGCTCGATCCCAGGACCCCGGCATCATGACCTGAGCCGAAGGCAGACGCTTAACAACTGAGCCACCCAGGTGCCCCTGAAATACCTTTTTTTTAAATCTCATATTGAAAATGCAGCTTTTATGTGGGTGCAAGATTGCTGTAAGTCATACCTATAGACTCTGATATAATTTGAGAAAAAACCACGTCACTCTGTGACAACTTAATATAAAAGGAAGCTGAAGGATCTAAAGCTGGAGAATTTAATGCCAGCAAAGGGTGGTTTGACAATTTTAGAAGGAGGTTTGGCATAAAAAATGTCAAGATAACAGGAGAAGCAGCTTCTGCAAAGGAAGCAGCAGATGGTTCTTAGATGCCATTAAGAAAATCATTGAGAGGGCCGCCCGGGTGGCTCAGTCGGTTGAGAGTCTGCCTTCGGCTCAGGTCATGATCCCAGGGTCCTGGGATTGAGCCCTGCGTCGGGCTCCCTGCTCAGCAGAGAGCCCGCTTCTCCCTCTCCCTCTGCTACTCCCCCTGCTTGTTCTCTCTCTCTGTCAAATAAATAAATAAATAAAAATCTCCTAAAAAATCATTGAGAAAGGATATCTGCCTGAACAGGTTTTTCATGCAGATGAAAGAATCCTATCCTGGAAAAAAGAAATGCCACAAAGAACATTTATTGGTAAGGAAAAGAAGCAAGCACCAGGATTTAAGGCAGGAAGGGCAAGGCTAACTCTACCGCTTTGTGCAAATCCAATCTGGTTTAAGATCAGGATTGTCCTGATCTATAAATCTGCTAACTCCCAAGCCTTGAGGGGAAAAGATAATCACCAGCTCCCAGTCTTTTGGTTGTACAAGAAGGCCTGGATGAGAACCCATTTTGTGGATTGGTTCCATCCATGCTTTGTCTGTGAAGTCAGTGAATACCTTGCCAGTAAGCAACTGCTTACTACTGTGGAGCCCAATGTAGGACCTGAAATCAGGACCCGGAGATCAAGACCTGAGCTGAGATCAAGAGTCGTATCTTTAACCAACTGAGCCACCCAGGCGCCCCAAGCAACTGCCTCTTAAAGTTCTTTTCATATCGGACCATGCCCCTGGCCACCCAGAACCCCATGAGTTCAACACTGAAGGTATCAAAGTGGTCTACTTGCCCCCAAACACAGTGTCTCTAACATAGGCTCTAGATCAGGGGGTCATGAGGACCTTTAAGGCTCGTTATACATGGTACTCTATGGCAAGGATTGTCAACACTATGGAAGAGAACCCCAATATGAACTCAACGTGAAAACCTGGAAGGATTATACCATTGAAGATGCCATCATTGTTTTTTGTTTTTTTGTTTTTTAAGATTTTATTTATTTGATAGAGACACAGCGAGAGAGGGAACACAAGCAGGGGGAGTGGGAGAGGGAGGAGCAGGCT